TGATTCATTTCCCCGTCATTCTTGGCCGGGATGTGGTGCGGTCCTCCAGGATCCCATATTTTGGCTGTTCTTCTAAAGAGCATTGACCTGAAGGCACAAATGCAGAGGAAGCGGCGCCAGACGCGCAGCCGGGCGGCCGCAGGCAACACAGCACCCGCAGCCGCCTGCGGTGACTCAGACAGCAGCTCGGAGCCGGTTTCATTATTGTACAACTGAAGCGATTCTGCCTCCTTCAGTCCGCGGTGCAAGGGGGCGGGGAGCGGGGTGGGGTGAGGTATCTAGCTCACAGGAAGCAAACACAAACTCCTGACCTCTCTCTTCTCTCTCTCTCATTCACACCTATGCTCACTCACTCAAGCCGAGTCTGAGCACAAGGAAAACAGAGCCCCCCTTGCCAACTCCAGGTCTCTGTCCGGTGTTTCTGCCCCGTTACTTCAGTGGCAGCCCGAGGGGCCTTCCAAAATCCGTGTGCTTGCCTGCTTTTGCAAACACGTGGGACAGGCTGCAATCTGGGTAACTTTTCAACCCTGTCTACTGAACATTTGCCTACAAATATCTGGGAGAGAGGGGCGGGGACGCCCCCTAATCCCTGCCTCCGCCACCTCCACTTCTGACCCCCACCAAACTCTTGGGCTGACGCTTGGGGGAAAGAAACTAGCCCATCACTCCAGCTGTTCTGGCCAGTCAGGGGGAAAAGCAAACCGCCACGAAAGCACCAAGCCACCTAGAGAGCCAGAAGGCGCGAGTCAGCCTCTGAGTCCCAAACAGGGTCCTGGCCCCAGCGAAACAGCCTTAGCCAGGAGCTCCGTGCACGCGCGGGAGGGTCACTCGGTGCACGCGCGGGAGGAGAAAGGACTTGAACCCTAGCGGCGTGAATATAAAACCATAGAGAGCAGCTCACCTTCAGGTTGTGCGTGGGGTTTACGACACAGACAAGTTGGCCAGCGGCGGCGAACACCCGTTTAGCCTTGTAGTGCTGAAAGCGGAGGTGGATGAGATCTAACACAGCTCCAAAGCACTGGGTAAAGAAAAGCATCACAACTTTTGGGGGGTCGTTGGCACAGGAAGGCAGCGACGCAGCTGTAAGTCCTTGGGCTCTGGAAGGAGCGCAGCCGCTGAGACACTCCGCTCCAGACCGGCTTAGCGAGCCTTCATATTCATCATCAAAACAAGATGGTTAGAATCTTGCAGCAGTGAGGCGGCCAATCAAAAGGACAGAAGTGTTATCCTTGAGGTGCAGAGACAGCCAATAACAAATGCCTCCCCTACTGAAACTCCCTGATGAATTGAGCCTGGCGGAGAATGTATTATTGAACATTACCATAGATCAGCACATTGCATTTATCTTGTGATTACAGCCAACCATACATAATGCTGGGGAGATCGGCTGACAAAATTGATTGCTTAATGTGTCTCCATTTATTAATTGACTTAATTTAACGTAAGAGCCTTTCTTAATGGGCTGGCAAAAACGTAAAGCGTTCCAACCTCCAAATAGTAAAACAGCCTGTTCCAAAGTAGGCAGATGGATAACGCTGATCGTGGCTCGACTCACCAGAGCTGCTTGGGAGAAAAATCAAATATTACAAGACTCGTCTGATTCCAGATAAGGATTTGGCAGGGGAAGAAACATACATCTTTTAATCTTGCGCTCTGACCCTCTCTGCAATTTGGGTTTCAGCCCCTTGAAAAAATCTTACTCTCCACTCTTTTTAAAAAGGAAAGAAGAAAAAAAGAATTCCACACAAGGAAAACAGACAATGTATATACATATACATATACATATACATATACATATACATATACATGTATATATACATATATCCATAATACTGTAATTACTGAAGCCTGAAGATATTAAACCATAAAAATGCACTGAGTATGCTTCTAAAAATAATGAAATCCCTGATGCATGAATGCACACCACAGAAAATCTACACAGAGAGGAAAGTGGCTTTGTAAATCAGCAAAATAATTACAGATGCAGAGGGTCTTCGCTTGTCATTCATTTGCATATTGGTGGACAGCCAATTGCTAATTAACCACTAAATTGCTGGATACATTAAAATAGAAACTAAGAGCACACATACCACATCATTTGCGTGTGCCTGCGAATGCCAGCAGCACGTTTCTGCGCCGATCAGGCGAAGGGCATGCCAGTCCTCAGACTGCACTCCCCTCTCTTCCGAATGGGGCTGGGAGCGGAGCAAGCTCACTCGCAGGTTCTGGAAGAAAGGCCTGAGTAGCACCTGAGGAGTTACAGTTTCAGGGAGTAGGCAGCCTTCCTGCCTACAGCAGGAGAGTTGAGTGTGTGTCTCCCTCTTCTTTGGTTGTTTTTCTATTAAAAGTCAGCCCAAATCCAGTGTGTGGGTGAGCAGGGGCCTTCTGCCCGAATTGCATCCAGAGCTGTGAGCCCATTGCTCCTTCTGGAATGGCTCTCACTCTGCTCTGGCTATAGAGCTTGGGTTGTAATATATGAAAGTGTACATACATGTGGAACATCTATTCTGTGGCCTGGTCAGGCAATTAAATCAACAACACATTAAGATATAGGGGAAAAATGAGCAGGTTTACTGAAACCAGGAAGAAGCCCAGGTATTAGTTTTAATTTAAATTTTAAACCAAATCAAATGTCTTAAGAGATAAATAAACCAGGCACCAATTAAAATGGAAACCTGGGACTTTCTAAAATAATTGCACTGCCACAAACCTAGAAGATGATAACTGTTGAACTGATTAGGACCTCATCGATATGATATGTTTATAGGATATGAGTCCCTACACCTAGTCATTAAACAGTTTGTAAACAAGGTTGCTGACCCACAATACCAGCATTCTCTCTAAAGCTTTTATTTTCCAGAACAATCAGTATTTTAATGTTCAGCTGGAAAAAAATTCAACCTTTTTTTATTGCCTTACTTTTTTTTAAAAGATAAAAGATTGTAATTTCATAGATTTCTTAAAAACACATCTAATAATTCATAAAGGTCCAAACTTCCTTTTTCTCCATCCTTGGTTAGAATGGAACTATTGTGTTTTTGTTTCTCCCTTTGTGCAGCCTTAGTCAGGTTTCTTAACCCTTTTAAAGTTTGGTTTCCACACCTGTCACAAGAGAATAATAGAAATTTATTTTTTTCAAGGTCATTGTGAAGACTAAGATGATGTATCTAGAAGTACCCAGCACAGTGCCTGATCCAAAGCAGCCTCACAATAACTTGAGTCCAATGAGCACCTTGGTGGAAGGGTGATTATTTGGCAGTATGCTTCTTCTTCTGCTCCATGAAATATTTTCTCCTACTGATATTCATGCTGTCATCCAGGGCCATGGAAGCTGAGGGCATGATAAGAGTGAACTTGGCTCCTGCTATGTTCTTACCGGTTAGTGTTCCTGATATTACCTAGAGACCTGGCCTGGGAGTGAGGGTTGAAGGGCTAAGGAGTGCGTATTGACATCAGTGGTGAGAACAGTGCCATAGACCTGCTATTGTGGTTTTGTTACCTTGGTCTCAGACTTGACTCCTTGCTCTAACTCTGTATTCAAAACTGCTCTATGTCACTCTCTTTTAAAAAATATTTTATTAATTGAATTTATTGGGATGACACTGGTTTGAAAAACCATACAAGTTTTAAGTGTACAACTCAATAAAACATCAACTGCATGCTGCATCCTGTACCCATTAACCCCAAGCAAAGTCTCTTTCAGCCCCCATTCCCCGCCCCTTTGCCCACCTCTACTTAGCCCCCACCCTTTTCCCTCTGGCTATCACCATACTGTTGTCTCTGTCTATGTCTTATACTAGTACATATGCTTTTTTGCTACTCCCTTCACTTTCTTTCATCCAGTCCTCTCACGCTCCTGCCCTCTGATAGCAGTCAGTCTGTTCCATGTATCCATGGCTCTATTTCTATTTTGTTCGTCAGTTTATTTTGTTCATTAGATTCCATATATAAGTGAGATCATATGGTATTTGTCTTTCTCTGACTGGCTTATTTTACTTAGTATAATAATCTCCAGTTCCATCCATGTTGTTCCAAAGGGTAAGATTCCCTTCATATTTACAGCGAGTAGTATCGCGTAAATGTACAACAGTTTTTTCATTCACTCATCTCCTGATGGGCACTTGGGCTATTTCCAGATCTTAGCTATTGTAAATTATGCTGCTGTGAACATAGGGGTGCATATATTCTTTCTGCTTGTGTTTTAGGATTTGTATGATATATTCCCAGAAGTGGGATCACTGGGTTAAATGGCAGTTCCATATTTAGTTTTTTGAGGAAACGCGATACTGTTTTCCACAGTGGCTGCATCAGCCTGCATTCCCACCAGTAGTGCACTAGTGTTCCCTTCCCTCCACATCCTCGCCACCACATGTTGTTTGTTGATTTGTTGATGATAGCCATTCTGGCAGGTGTGAGGTGATACCTCATTGTCCTTTTAAATTGTATCTCTCTAATGATTAGTGATGTTGAGCATTTTTTCATATGTCTATTGGCCATCTGTATGTTCTCTTTGGAGAAGTGTTTATTCAGGTCTTTTACCCATTTTTTAATTGGGTTGTTTGTCTTCCTGGTGTCGCGTTGCATAAGTTATTTATGTATTTTGGAGATAAATTTCTCATCAGATGTACCATTGGCAAATATGTTCTCCCATTCAGTGGTGATTCCCTTTTCATTTTGTTGATGTTTCCTTTGCTGTGCAATAGCTTCTTAGTTTGATGTAGTCTCATTTGTTTACTTTTTCTTTTGTTTCCCTTGCCTGAGGAAATATGAGCAAAAATATTGCTATGATAGATGTCTGAGTTTTTATTGCCTATGTTTTCTTCTAGGATTTTTATGATTTTTATCTTGTGTAAGGTATAAGTTGATGGCCTAGTTTCCTTTTTTGCATGTACCTGTCCAATTTTCCCATCACCATAGAAGCATGAACAGACTGTTGAACTTCAGAGAGAAGGCAGGGGAGGGTGGGTGGGAAAAGACCAATGACTCCGGGGGGAGGGGGGTTGAAGACAGGAGTGGGCTGGAAGAGGTTAATGGGGGGGGGAAAGGAGGACCTATGTAATACTTTTAACAATAAAGATTTAAAAAGCAAAAACCTAAAACACCAGAATAAAAATAAAAATACTGATAATTGGCACGGGGAAAAAAAGATTTTCTTCATATACTTAGGTGCTACTATGTTGGGTACATAGATATTTACAAGGGTTATATCCTCTTTTTAAAAAAAATATTGATTTTAAAGAGAGGAAGGGAGATAATAGATAAATAGGTAGGTAGATTGATAGATGATGGATGGATAGATAGATAGATATTATGTGAGAGAGAAACATCAATATGCTGCCCCCTATATGCACCCCAATTGGGGATTGAACCCCCAAGCAGAGTATGTGCCCTGACTAGGAATTGAATCTGCCACCTTTGATGTATGGGACAACACTCCAACCAACTGAGCCACACTGGCAAGGGAAAGGGTTATATCCTCTTGTTAGATTGATTTCTTTATTTATTATGTAGTGATCTTCTTTGTCTCTTTTATGGCCTTTGTTTTGAAGTCTATTTTGTCAGATATAAATATTGCTACCCCAGGTTCTTTTTTGTTTGCTTCCATTTGCATGAAGTATTTTTTCATTACTTTACTTTCAGTGTATGTGTATCTTTTGTTCTGAGGTGGGTCTCTTGTAGACAGCATATATATGGGTCATGTTTTATTATCCTTTTAGCTATCCTATGTCTTTTGATTAGACCATTTAATTTGTTTACATTTAAGACTATTAGTATGTACTTATTAATTGACATTTTATTCTTTATACCTATGTTCCTCTCTCTCTTTCTCCTCCTCCTCCTCCTCCCCCTCCTCCTCCCTCCTCCCCCTCCCCTTCTTCTTCTTCTTCTTCTTCTTCTTCTTCTTCTTCTTCTTCTTCTTCTTCTTCTTCTGAGCAAGCCCTTTAGCCTTTCTTTCAATGCAGGTTTGGTGGTAATGAACTCCTTTAGATTTTTTGGTCTGGGTAGTTCTTTACTTCACCTTAAATTTAAATGATAGCCCTGTTGGATAAAGTAGTCTCAGTTTTTGGTCCTGGCTTTTCATCACATTGAATATTTCATGTCAATCTCTCCTGGTCTGAAGTGTTTTTGTTAAAAAATCAGGTGATAGCATCATGGGCACTCCCTTGTAGATAACTAACTGCTT